TCCGTATTTTCGGCCTTTCCTAGTTTAGGTCTTCGGTTAATGGATGAACCAAAAACTGACCCGTGCATAATGACAGGGCTCCTCATGCTACGTCTTGTGGCATTGTACAAATCAAAACCCATCATCGTATGGCTCTTGTATATCGCTCTTTTCGTTTCATACGGTGCGACGTTTGGCCTCCTCTTCCGTGCTCAATTCTTCTACTCTGGTATGTTGCTATCAATCTGTCTGTGTGAATACCATTCCTAATGACATTATGGATCATCACATTTAGAATATCTCGTCTACTCTGATTACGTGGGTCTATGCATCACCACTGGTCGTTCCCCTACCCTTTCCGGCGTCTTTTACGCCCCACTCGGTTACGAGATTATTTTGTTCGGCTTGACCATCTACCATGCTTGGAAAGACTATAGGACCCAATCAAGGGTCTCTGACACTCCTTTACTCAAAGTCATGTATCGAGGTTGGTTCCTTCTCCTGTCTGCCTATACCATACTTAGCGCCCTTCAGACGGTGTACTACTCTTCTGCGTAATGGTCGCAGCGAGGATATGGAATATCATCATCGTATGTCCCGTACCATCAGCTATCCTGATGGGATTACTGATCTTCGGTTAAATCTAGTACACCTCTGAGCCTCTTACCCGAACGTACCTCGGTATCTAGTCAGTACCTGTTTCTTGGTGCCATTTGAGAGTACCCTACTGACCCTGTCTCCCTCTAGTATGATGTGGGCCGCCATAACTGCCATGTCGAGTCGTATATACATGAACATGGTCAAATTAGCCCGCCAAAATGCTCACCAGCAATCAGACAACTCTAGTAGTGACAGTTTACCCTTCCCTAGGAAGGGTCCGTTTCCTAGAGTCATCGGACGCCCACTGCCCGCCACCATCGCCAATCCTAGCCGCAACCATCGTCACACCAACTCCAATTCCATCAGCAGTCGGTCAAAGACACCGAAGCGGGCAGAAGCGTTGATGCAAATACCGGAGGAACCGCCGCGGTCACGGTCACGGTCACGTTGTGCCTTTTATCCTAATCCCAATCCCAATAATGCCATGCTAATGGGCAGCTTGCCCGCAACGGCGACCGCCACAATACGG